CCCACCAAAGGTAACAACTATTATCACGTCTGTCACCATAAATTGTTCTGCCTATTTTTCAATTTAATTAAATATAATAATAAAATATATGTTACTTCCATCCTTACTTCGTTAGTTTACTAGGTGTGAGACTCATCTTTGCATGTAGCCATCTCTCTCTCTTTTTTTTTTTTTCTTCTTCATGGCTATGTGGTACTTCCATTCGGTGAATATATGACATTTTTTTCCTTTCCACAGTTGGAACTCTGAGGTGCTTTAAGTTTGGAGCTCTTATGAATCCTGCTACTCTGCTTATAATTTTAGGACATATTTGTTGGCATTTTTGATGAGTATATACTTAGGCAAGGAGCCCCAGTGGCCCAGTGGCCAAACTGGGTGCTAACCAAAAGTTCAGCACTTCGAACCCTCCAGCCCCTCCACAGGAGAAAGATGTGGCAGTCTGCTTCTGTAAGATTTACAGCCTTGGAACCCATACAGGGTTGCTATGAGTCGGAATCAACTCAATGGCAATGGGTGTGGTTTGGTGTATACACTTAGGCATGGAAATGCTTGGCCACACAGCATGCCAAAGAAAAACTTACAGGATGATCATGATCATGGGTTAGGTACAGACTTCTTAAACAGGACACAGAAGTCACAAATTATATATTTTATGTAATTGTGGTAATATTTGGCCTCATACTTACCATGTTTTTCCTTTACTCTCAGCTTTATTATGTTCCCTTTTCTCCTTTTCCTTTCCTTATTTTGGATAAATCTAGCTTGAAAAAATATATATACATATATATTCCCAGGCTCCTATCAATAGCTTGATTGTTTTCCTATTCTTTTGGCTATTACTCTACAGTAAAGCACACATTCAGGACATCTGGGTAACTAATATAAACAAGTGGCTCTGGGGTTAAGTGCTTCCATGCTAATTAAATGAGCAGCTATTTGAACACACCAGCTGTGCTGTGGGAGAAAGCTTTGACAACTTGCTTCCATAAAGATTACAGCCTTGGAAGCCCTTGGGGGCAGTTCCACTCTGCTGTAGGGTCAGTATGAGTCAGAGTCCACTCCAGGGCAACGGTTTCTTTTTCTTTGGGGTGAATATAAATTAGTACTTCTACCTTTCACAGACATTTGATGGACCGTAGGCCAGTCTGTTGTTGCTGTACACCTTCCATCTGGCTGGCTCACGGCGACTCTACACGCCAGAGTGGAAATGCGCCATAGTGTTGCCTAGGCTACATTGTATGGGGGAGCAGATTGCCAGGTCTTTTCACCTATAGAACAGGTGGTGGACTCCAATCACCAACTTTTCAGTAAGCAGCCAAGCACTAAACCATTGAGCCAACAGGGTTCCTTAGACCACTTTAACTCCGTCTAATTCCCTCCTACACACTGTGCTATGGGCTTCTTGTACTTTCATTCTACATGTATTTAACTCCCACAGCTCTTATTATTGCTCTGTAAAGGTTTTATTCCTTTCAGCCCACCCACTTATGTGCCTTCTCTCTTGCTCATCATTCTTTCCGTTATATTGTGGGTCTCTTTGGGGTCAGTTTTTTTGTCTGAAGAAGTACTTTTAGTATTTCTCTTTATGCAAATCTTCCTATGAATCATCTAGGCTTTTGTTAGTCTGCAAATAATGCTTCTTCTCCTTTATTTTTTTTTACCATCATGTTTTTTTGTTTCTCCTCCAGCACATCAAAGATGTCCTTTCTTTTCTTGGAAGCTTTTAAAATTTTCTTTTTCCCTTTAGATTTCAGCAGTTTGAATACAATATACCGAAGAGTGATTTATCTTTGTATTTACTTGGCTTGGAGTTTGTTGATTCTTTTGACTTTATACGTTGATATCTGTCATCAGTTTTGGAAAATTCTCAGCCAGTATCTCTCGAAATAAGCTTCCGGCTGCTTATCTCTCTCTACCCCTTATGGGACTGTAACTACATCTGTATTAGCCCTTTTCACCATTTCTCCCTCATTATTATTTTCTCAATGTTCAATCTCTTTACTCTTCGTGCTATAACTGGTATATTTCTTCCTTTTTTCCACTTAACTGATCTGCTGTTAACTTTACTTCAATCCACAGACATTCTTAATTTTAATCATATCTCCACGTCTATAGCATCCATTTGATATTACTGATTACTGTCCTACCGTTAACTTTTTCCATCTTGTCTCATATGCGCAAACATATTAATCAGTTATTCTAAAGGTCATTTTTGATAAAGCCTTTAGCTCAGGCAACTGCTGATCTTGTTTCTATTACTTTTTTCCTCTCTCTGTCCTTTTTCTTCACAAATCTGAAATGCTTTTTATGAAATATCCAACATTTTATATAT